GATTCTAAGCATAATGGAGCGACTGCGACATCTCCACGATCCTCCCTCTTTGAATTGCATTCATTCTACAGAAGATCCCAAAGCATCAAACACGAGAAAAACATTGAAATTTTCAATAAAAAGAAGAGCAAAATACTTCTTGAACTTTCTGTAGAACAAATGCATTTCGATGAACGAAGATCATGAAGAGATCGAAAACACATAATTTTTCTCCATCAAATCAAATCTTTTCTCAATAGCTTTGAACGGAAGCCAGAAAGCTGATTTTATGAGTTCTGAATTTTCTCTGACACTCATTCTAGCAGTTTTGTTAAAGTCTTCGAACTTAGAATTCTACGAGAGAATCCTTTCAATTACAAATGTTTTTTCAGATTCTTGCTAGCGATTACCATTGAGAAAAAAACTTAAATATACAATTGCTTTAAACATATGCCCGCCGCTGTATGTATTCATAAAGATGCTTTTACTATATTGCATCAGAACACATCATAATTATTTTATACCAACCAAATTCTACAGATAAAGTACTACGTATCTTTCAGATACTTGGTTTAATTGATAAACTTCATCAGTCAAATGGTGCCTNTCGAAATCCATTTGTTCTACAGAAAGTTCAAGAAGTATTTTGCTCTTCTTTTTATTGAAAATTTCAATGTTTTTCTCGTGTTTGATGCTTTGGGGTCTTCTGTAGAATGAATGCAATTCAAAGAGGGAGGATCGTGGAGATGTCGCAGTCGCTCCATCATGCTTAGAATCATTCGCTCTATCAAAGAAAATATTTTCCTAAAAGTTTCGAAAGGAAGCTGGAAACGTGATTTTGTAAGTTTCGATTTTCGACACAACTTTACCCAGACGATTTTACTAAAGTCTTCACACCTATCAATTCCGATAGAAAATCTTCCACCTATACAGTTTTTTCCCAATTCTTGTTAGCTATTCCTGTCGAAAAACAAAGAATTTGAACTGATTTATATGCGACATATTCAGAGTTTGTGACCTATTATTACTTCATATATTCACTGTATTTCTCTAGTTAACCATGTCCAATAAATGTTTGACGGATGGAAATAGTTACTAATCGCTATGATAAATTTTTTAATCAAAGATTATTTGAAAAATACTTCCAATAAATATCTTCAAACAAATCAATTATACTGCTTTTGGTATGTCCTAAGTAAATAGGAATCGAAGTTCACAACTAATGTCTTTAGTGCTGAGTATAACCGTACTTAATAAAAAAAAAAGTTGGAAAATTCTAGATTGATTGCAACATTATATTAAACTTCATTATTATGATTAATTGTTTACATTATTCAAGCTTTCTATTTTTTTCAATTATCCTTCTTTGAACAGAGCATCTAAACGCATACAAAATCTTAACTGAACATTTCTATACTAAGAAAATAATGAGACAATCTTTCATTTTCTCTTCCGGAATTAATTAATATATTCGGAAATATCGTATATCGACTAGTAATAGAATCTTTGTAAAAGTTAACTTTAAAATCACATGTCAAGCATATATTTGCTTCAAAATATAAATTAATAAACTTGATTAACTCCTAAGAGATAAATCAATCTAATTCTCCATAGGGTTAAATTGTGCATAGAAAAAAAAATCTACATCAGATTTTTTAATCAATAGCATCAATACTTTTCTATTATCTTTTTCTGAATACAGACAAAGTAATTAGTTTTTTGACTTCATACAGGTTCCATGTCGCACGCAAAGAGTACAAAAAAAACAGGAAAGAAAGAAATGTTAAGCGTGCACATCCCTTTTTTTTGTCAAATTGCATGTGCCATATCGAATGAAATCCAATTATGAACAGCATATATTGACAAACGGTTAGTGCCTGACACTTTTATTAAAGATTGGTTATATTGCAATTGATTTATAATATTGTTCATTACTTTGAAATCATGATCGATTTATTTAAACGACAATTTCGAAGTCGAAATTCTTATGAACAATTTAATGATCATATTGATGGAAATTATAAAAGTAAATTTGATCTTATACGTTTAAGTGCTGTTGTATGTGGCATTGAATTTTGTTATGCGGCTGAAACAGCCTTTGTTTCACCTATTTTACTTCAAATGGGTTTACCAGTTATGTTTATGACTTGGGCATGGTGTTTACCACCATTAATTGGTTTCTTTCTTGTACCAGCACTTGGTTCACTTAGTGATAAATGTCATACAAGGTTTGGACGACGACGTCCATTTATATTTCTTTATTCAATTGGTATTTTGATCGGTCTTTCATTAGTTGCAAACGGTAACAAATGAAAAGATTGAATTTAAAACAAAATAAATTTTATTTTTAGGTCGTATTATGGGAGAATGGTTTGGTGATAAAAGAAATGAAATTGTTAACAATACTGAATTAGTTAATGAAACTAATATTAAAAATACAAAAAATTTTAATGCATTATTATCACATAAATATGGTGCAACCTTAACTGTACTTGGTGTTCTTTTACTTGATCTTGATTGTGATGCATGTCAAAGTCCAAGTCGAGCTTATCTACTTGATGTTACAGATCCTAGTCAACATTCATCAGGTCTTACAACGTTTACATTCATGGCTGGTTTTGGCGGTTCTTTAGGATATTTTCTTGGTGGAATACCATGGGAACATACGTTTTTAACGAATGTATTTGGGGATCATATTCATGTTCTATTTACATTAGTTTGGATTATTTATGTTGTGTGTATGATTTTGACATTAACAGCATCAAAAGAACCAACTAATGTTGCAGTTGCTGTGCCAAATCTTACTCGATCAATATCACGTCAATTTATTGTTTCTTCAAGAAGTATTGACGATGATGATGATAATGATGATGATGATAATAATAATGATAAACATTCATATGAATCATCATCAAGAAATAATATAAAAGTATCATATTTTGATTATATACGATCGATTATTTATATGCCATCATCATTAAGATGGCTTTGTTTAACAAATTTCTTTTGTTGGATGGCATTAGTTTCATATTCACTTTTTTTTACCGATTTTGTTGGACAAGCTGTTTTTGGTAAGAATTAAATAATTGAAATTAAATATTATTTTTTCATTTAGGTGGAAATCCAAAACTTGATTATAATCATCCATTACGATTATTATATAATGATGGTGTTCGATTTGGTTCATGGGGCATGTCAATTTATTCAATTTCATGTTCTATTTATTCATATAATATTCAATTTCTTAATAATTATTTTGGTATGTTTAAATTTTTTTTAAATTTTTTTTTAAATCATGTTTTTCTTAAAGGTATCAAACGAGTTTATATTGGATCTCAAGTTATCTATGCCATAGGAATGTTATTAATGGGATTTTTAAGACATCGTATTGGTGTTATTGTTTTATCAGCTGTAGCTGGTATACTCTATTCAACACTATTTACTATTCCATATTTACTTATTTCGCAATATCATACATCAAATACGGTATGTTTTGTAATCTTTGTTTCTGTTTTGAAGATCAATTGTTTATTTATTTACAAAAAAAAATAGTTCGGTCACTTGCATGGATTAAATAAAAATGGACAAGTTCGTGGTATTGGTACAGATATTGCTGTTGTGAGTAGTATGGTCTTTTTGGCACAATTATGTTTATCATCAACAATGGGAACATTTGTTCATTTAGCTGGTTCGACGGTTATTATAACTGTTGTCGCTAGTTTTCTTAGTATTTGTGGTGCCATATCGGCAACACAAGTTTTATATATAACATAGAGAAAAAAGAAATAATTAAATTAACATTTGTGCGTTCAAATATTAATTTTATGAAATAATAAAATGAAACATTATTTTATTCAGTATATTTCAAATAACTTGTTTGTGCTTATTAACTTAAGAATCAATAGTTTTTGCATTGATCAAATTTGAGTTACTTATGATTGTAAAGCAAAACATTACCAATCGAATATATGGAAACTTTATTATAATAATAGATTGGAAAGATACTCGACGAAATTCATCTTATTTGTCAAAGTATCTTAATATCATATGTTTAGTCTATTTGAAAAGTTTGTTAAAATAAATGGAATTAACGCAGAACTTACAATTGAATATTTTCAACTGATAAATTACTTTTTTATGGAAAGCTAGTAACATCATATTGATTTCGAATATGATCATAAGACATTGCCCTAGACCTTTATAGGCTGGTTTTCTAGATAAACACGTCGTTCACCAAAAATTTTCTTTCTAATCTGTCTAGATTATAGAGCATGTCGACATACTTACAAAAAAAAATACTGTCAGAACTGATAAAAAAAAGAATAAAATTATTTCAAAGAATAACTATAAAATATCTTTTTGTTTTTTTAAATAATTAGTAAATAGTATAGTTTCACTTTCATTTCTCTGAGATCATTTTGAACAGTATTCAAGTAAACGTCGAGTACAATCATCATAATATCGCAGAACAATGATTACAGTCTCCAAGACTGCCAAAAAACGGTATTTTATACTGTTATTTCATACACTTTGTGATTATAAGTTGCAGTAGATTAACATTTGGTAGCCACAGTATTAGAACCTTATTTCATCATGCCATACACACAATCAATAACGGTCTACCAAACGGCGAAAAAACTATCTAACGACCATACTTATTTGTGATCTAGAACTACTTCCAATAATTAAAGACATTTTTACGTTTCTTGTTCACTCGATAATCTTGTAGATACTTATTTGTTTCTATCTATCATAAATAATTGCTATTATACTAAAGTATTCTCAATCATTTATACGTACCAACATTATATATCTTTAATTTCAATGAAGCATCTTACTGTATCATTACTGTTAATTAAAATTATGTTATTTTATAGTATACAAGTTTTAATGAACATGAACAAGAAAAAAAAAATGTATGGCTACACACACACATACACTTGAAGAATGAAAGTGAATACGAACAAAACGTTTCAAGTCTTCTATTTTTAAATACATATAAGGAGATTTTTGTTATTTATTTATTGCGTTTCATAAACAATTCGATCAGTAGTTGTTTTTGTATTTATATTCGTATTATTATCATTATTAGCAGCAAGATTTTGACGACGTCTCATTGATTTAATTGCTTTTTCACGTAGAAGACGTTCACGTAAATCAATTTCATTTTCATCTTCACTAGGACTTTTATTTTGATGTTCTTCATTATCATTTATTTTTGTTGAAATTGATACACGTGCTGAAATCGAATCAATACTATCAGTTCGAGACTCTTCTAATACAACCTAAAAGGGAAAAAAAAGAAGTTTATGAAATAAATAGAAAAATTCAATTATTTACAATTCGTTCAGTGCGATTTGGTTTAATTGGTGTGGACGGTTGACGAACTAATTCTTGTTGTGATTTCTATATTAATTAATATATAAAGAATATTATATTAAAAATAAATTACTAACATTATCATCAGGTAATTTTGGTGGTGGTGGTGTTTGTACTTTAATTTGAGATTCAAGTCGAGGTCTTTTTGGTGATGATGATTGTGGAATTTCATTATTTGATGATGATTGATATGAATTTGAATTTGTTTTGTCTTTATGTTCATTTTTATCTTTTTTCTTTTTCGATGATTCATTTCGATGTGTCTTTTTTGTTATTGACTTGTCTAGGTGATCTAAATTGATGGGTTTCCATTTGCAATAGAGCTCAAGGCTAGAAACAAAATATAAAGTAACGCTCAAAAGTCCAATATATACATATTGGCCAATTTCTTTTTTAATTTTTGATTTCTTTCTATCGATTTTGTGTCTAATTTAAAATAGATATGATTAAAATGACTTACCACGATGGGATTTTCGTTTATTATCATTACTTCTATGATGTTTTGTTTGTTTCCTTGAAGAAGATTTACTATATAAAAACAATAGATTTATTATATGAAGTCTTTGCCACAAACTCCGGCGAAATCATCGTAAGTCATCACTCAAAAATATCAAGGATACAGTTCACATGTGAGTGCGCGGGTTTATAGTGAAATGGAGTGCTGAGAAGAGTCATATCCGCAGCTGAAGTATCATAATAACAAGAGTTAAAGCAATACAAACGACATCCTTGAAATTTTTCTGTGGTGACCCATGGCGGTTCCGGCGCGATTTGTGATAACCTGTGGAAATACAAGCCAGTTTCTGTTGGAAAAATTGAACAATGGTATGAACTTGAAAGCATGAATCTGCTGACCAGGTTTTTCTAGTTCCAACCACAGCCGATTATCTGAATTCCTGCTTTCCAGTATCTACCATTTTTTCGAGTTTTACAGTCAGAAACAACATCATTCTGGTGAGCGCCTGTAAGAATCATCGACTTGGGAAAGAGGGCTCAAATTTTTACTCTGAGACTTCAACAGTCCTTTTAGGTCGTATTTCACAAAATGAAAGACACTGACTGTAGAATGAATAGAGACTTACCTATTATGAGTACTATGTTTTCTTGATTTATGATCATCTTTCTTTTTGTCGAACTTTCGATTACGGTTCGGCGAAGATGATCGTGATCGACTTGATGAACCAGTTTTGGTCAATTGTGGTTCTATAATTAGATAATAACACTTATTAAGTTTCGAATTATAATTAAACTTTAATTGTAAAAAAGTTTTTCTTTTTTTTTTTAATATGAAGAAAATCAACTGTCGAAAGAAATCATGATTTTATAATTTTTTGCTAACCTTACAATGGAAAAACCAGAATCATAAAGAAATTCTTGTTGCAAATAAAATTCTGTATACAACTTACTATTTAGGACAGTGAGAAAAACACCTGATTGGGTAATTTTAGGATAAACTTACTCTTCTTTGGTTTTTTATTTGTCTCTGATTCAGATATGGATGCTAATGATGATGTTAAACTTGAAAAGGATGAATTTGATATTGAACGTGAAATTGATGATGAATTAATAGATGATGATCGAGCTCGTTTTGATTGTTTTTTATTTTTTTTCGTTTCTTTAATTGGTGATACTTTTGGTTTAGGTTTTTCTATATTAGATGTTGGTTTTGAAGAAGTTTTTGTTGATTGTTTTGAACGTGGAGGAGAAGGTGTAAGAGATTTTCGTTTTGTTTTAGACACGGGTTGTTTTTTGACTTGATTATCAATTGTTAAATTATTATTTTCATTTATTTTTTGTCGTTTTATTTCATTAGATTCATTTGAAATATCATTAACTTTTTTTCGTGATGATTTATCGTGTCTTTGATATGAATGACTGTCATTTGAACTGGAAGAGGATGAACGAGTTTTAGGTTTAGGTTTAATTTTTTCTGGTTTTTTTGTTGTTTGATATGATGTATTTTGAAGTTCGGATGAAGATTGTTGTTGATGTTTTTCATTTTTTCGTGATGATTTTATTGGACTTCGACTATGTAAAGGAGATTTTGATCGTGAACGATGACGTTCATATCGATTTGATGATGATTTAAGATTTTGTTTTGGCTTTTCATAATGACGATGATGATTATCTTCATTTTCACTAATATCCGAAATAGGTCGAGTCGGTTTTTTATCATTATTTCTAAATAAAAAATAAATGAAAAATATTTAAAATCAAAATAAGAATTATCGGAACTAACCGTGTTCTTAAATCTGGACTACGTGAATCTCGTATTCGATGATTTTTTGGTGATAAACGTCGTCGATCATGATCACGACGATCATCATTATGATATGATCGTGATTTATATTCAACAGCAACATCATGTTCATTACGTGACTTATTACTTGATGATGCCGTTGGATTGCGTCCATTTATTTTATTATCTAATTTATCAATATCAGGTTTTATATCTTGTCGATGGCTATCTTCTTCACGTTTGCGAATTTCACGTAATCGATTATCTTCTTCCTAGGTTATTTCGTTAAATTGAAATCATCCTTACAATCAAAACATATCATATCATTCTTAGAATGTGCAGTTTCAGTTTACTGATCACCGACTAAAGATACGCGGGACCGAAACGAGGATAAAAAAAAAACTTTGGTTCTTCACATCTCTGCTATCAACTCAATGCAAGATGACTAGAATTGAATAAGTCGCCAATACGATACAAGAGATACTTTTTTCTGACATTTTGTACTCGGTGACTAGTGCATGCTACAAGAAGGGACATATTTTGATAGAGTTGGTGTATTAGTTTATCTAGTATGAGTGCCTCTCGAAGTGTCTACGTTCCTAAAAACAAGTGCTCGTCCTTCCGAAAGAGAATTTCTTATAAAGTTTGATCAAAGAAGTCCAAAAATCTAAATCTCTAGTCATTTTTTTCGAAAGCTCTGATAGAGGTCGCAAACTTTCCATTACTCGGTAACTGTCACTTTCTTCCCATAATAAAACATCAATCATAAAAAAAAAAGAAATTTAATCTTTCTCATAAAAACCTATTGATTCAAAAAAAAGATAATATTTCAAATTTTCAGATGAATTATACCTGTCGTTTTAATAATTCTCTCTTTTTCATTTCAACACATTCTGCTGGTATACCATCCGGTGATGATTGTGCACTAGCTAAAAGTTTCCAAAGTTCTCCAATAAATACTCGAGCTTTGCTTCCACCAAGAAAACCGGTTAAATTAATTTGCATCATTTTTGGATCAGGATGCTTCAAGATAAAATGAAAATATTTAAACAAAAATAGGAATTTCTTTGTTTGTTTCTTTTTTTTTTCAAACCTTATCTTCTAGCTGATTAAAAACAAATTCAATAACAACATCATCTTCAATACCTAATAATTCTTGTAAACGTTTTGTAATCCATGGTTTTAAGACATCTAAATTAACTTTTAACATATCGATCTATACATAAAAAATTTATTTCAAATTAAATTTAAAACAAAAAATGCAGTCATTTACTTTAACATCAATATTGTCAGGAAATTTCATTTGTTTAAGTAATTTTTTTTGTTTATTTGCAAATCGACTATCTTGTTCAGCCGAAGTACCCTAAAGCATATACAAAGAATTAGTTTTTATTTTTTTCTACTTGATTATTTCATTATGCTTACTTTAAAGAACCCGGCATCAGTCATAATTACAAATTATCTTCAACAAAATCAAATGAAAATTCTTTTTTTTTCTCTATTGGCTATTAAAGAGTGGAAAAACAAATCGCCTAAAGATCAGTTGTTCAGTTCGAAGAGAAAAGAAAAACAAACAACGAACAGAATAACAGAAAAAAAAAGAACAATCACAGGTTGACTAATACAAAACCAACCGGTAGATTTGAAACTGTTTTTTTTCGGTACACAAGACAAAAAAAAGAACTAAGAACAAAGCTGGTTTGATCTGGTAAGCAGAGAATCATAGATTTAACCAATAAGTAAACCAATACCAAAACGATATGCAGCTTTAGCATGATTTAATGAACTGCTTAACATAAACGTAAATGGTAATGGTGTAAGACGTTTTTCAATTACAGCGGTTACAAGACCATTTGTATCGACCATACCTAAAATAAGAATACTTCATTAAATGCAAAATCTTCTGACATGCTAATTTCATCTCGATATTCATATTAGCATGATTTTCATAATTGCTAAAAACAAATATTGAAAGCTCACTGGAATTTAGAGCCCATCAGGTTGGTCCCGGACTAGTGTCTTGCAAACAGATCGAATATATGATGTAGCGAAATGAATCCTAAATTACTTGCTTCTTTTGTGGAATTTGAGATGATTTCTTTTTTTTTTTTTTGTTGTGGCTATTTATGAAAGAAACTAAATAGTATGAGCTTTCATATAAAATAAAAGTTTAAAAACCGTACTGTGACTATGAAAGTATCTGCAGAAATTTCTCTGTTAATCGGATTCGAAAATTTTGGATCCAATGGACTTTACTAGAATTCACCATCCGTTTTTCTGTCAAAATAAATAAAGTCAGTGTATGATGATTTATGTAACAAGAGTAGCAATTTCAATAGATCCATTAATTTGGAAAAATATTGAATTACAATATAAGAAACATATTGTTTTTTTAACTTTGTAATATGAAAGATAGGTAATCACAACATTACCTATAAATCTATATTGACTAGACAAAAATTTGATGTGCAATTATACAGTTTTTCCTTTCACTTAAGCATCTTATTTCTAGAATTGTATGAGATCTGTGTGGACATCGGCTAATTTCATCACAATGTTATAAATATGCTCTAATGAAGATCAGTAGTCTATGCTGATAAGATCTACCAGAATATGTCCAACTATTATTTACCTGAATAAGCCATCCCGAAGTACATGTGAACGTTTATTGACTATCTCAGGTTCGTTCGAATTCCAGTAGATATATATTAGAGACACTTATTACTGTATATTGATAGCATCAGTCAATCATACGCATTCGTCCTTCTTATATAGAACAGTTCAAAGTATACATATGTATAGTAATGTATGATTTGAAACGCTTCGAAAATAGAGAATGATAAGACCATGAAAAAAAAAAGGACTAAACAAATATGATTCAAATTCGCTACTTTCCTGTTTATTCTTTTTGTAATCAAATTGTCACATGTGTATAATAAACTAATAACAACTTTGTGTGTTATATTTATTTTATTAAATGGGATCCACATGGATTTCAAGTTGTAATATCTAAAGATGGTCACGTTAAGTTAATTTACATAAGATATTATTTCATAAAGCGCATTGTAACATTCTTTCTCCTTTCGTAGATATGTGAGCTCATACAGTGAAAAAGGTTATTATTACATATATGATTAATCCAAATGAACAATTTCATTTTCAGAAAATGTCGATTGATTGAATTTTATTTTGCATCTGACTTTTTGTCGAAAAATAATTAGTTTTTTTTTTTTTTTTTTCTTACCTCGAAATGTTGTATTCGCTTTTATTAAATCATATTGGTATGAAAATGTAGCTGAAGTTTCTTTAACTGCAAGCGAAGTCTCAAATTCCACACCTAACTGTAATGGACTGTTTACTTTTTGATGAAAATAACCAAGATTAAAAACACCTGCTGGACTTAATTTAACAGCAGTAAACCAATCAAGACCTTAAATTTCAAATAAATATACAATTCTTGTTTTTTTTAAAATAGAACTCTTTGGTTGTTTGTTTTTTCCTACCTCGATATCTTGTAACAAAACTAGTGATACCAATATGTTTACCAGGTATCATTGGACTTGCTTGATAAAGAAATTCAGCACCAATATCTAAATTTTTTGTTACACGTGTTAAATGTTGTAAAACAGCGATACCTAAAAAATAAATATTAAAAACAAAAAATTTATTAATTTTTTTTATTTTATTTTTTTTATATATTTTACCAGAATTGCTCATTAAATCAATATTTGCTAATGTTAAAGTCGTTGTCGTAAATTGTGTTCGATAATCCATAGATAATTGATAACCAGCCATTTTAAATGATTGTACCTTGAAAAAACAAAGATTAAATTATTGAGAATTCTTTATTATTATTATTATTTTACTTGTGCTAATAAACGTGTTCGAATTTTATCATTCCATTGATGAATTATTTGAGCATTAGCATTTCCATTTGGATCCATATCACCTAATATAACAGGAAAAACCTATGAAAATAAATTGATTTTGTTTTTTTTATCATAGAAAAAATTTGTTTTTATTCGCTTTACTTCAGATTGTGAATAAAGTTGTGTGCCAAGATAATTAGCTCCAAATTTGTATCCACTATTTGAACCATTACTTAATGTCATTGAATGACTAACTTGAAAATGACTGCTAAGCATCTTAGTAACAGATAATTTTGCACCTTCAAATGTTGGCGGCATTAAATCTATTATAAAAAAATATTAATAAATATGAAAAAAAAAATAAGATAAAATATTTATGTTTACCCTTTATTTTTTTAAATACATCATCAAATATACCCGGATTACGTGAAAAATCTGTTGTTATATTCATCCATCGTGTATTAGGAAATGACGGTTGAGATAATTGTTGTTCATCTATTTTTGAAGATTTATTTGTATCATTTGATGTTGCATCTCCTGAGACATTAGCCATGTTGAACTTGAAAAAAATTCAATTGTTGATTACCAATCTACGAAATAGCCAAGTAAAAGAACTCTTTGCTTTTTCTTTTATTCTGTTCGATGATATTAACCAATTAAATAATTTTCTATGAAATTAAAAATTAAAAAAAAAATTTTTCTTATCAAAGAAATTTCTATGATAATCTTTTAGAAAAAATAAAATTTAAAAAAACGTAATCGAAGATTTTATAATATATAGATATCGCTAATAGGAAATTATTTTTATGACTCATTATCAGTTTTATTTATCGATGATGATCTGATATCATCTTGAATAAAAAAAAAAAAATACAAATATATTTTGATTTGAGAGAAAATTAACGAAAAATTTTTATTTCAAAATTTGAAATTTAAAGAAAATTCTTGAAAGTTTTCTTATTACATAGAACAATTCATAGATCAAGTTTTCGAAACTATATTTTTACGAAATCGAAAATTGAAATAAATCTTCAGTATTTTAATTTCAGGTGCATGACGCCCTTTCTACTTATAAAAATTCATCATAAGACGATTTGTCTCATTTTAACTTTCTATATCATGTATTTCTTATAATCGTCATTTAACTGTTTCACAATATATAATAATAATTAAAATATTTTTCCATATTAGATCGATTTAAAACTAAAAGGCAGATTCAAATTTTTTATAATATTATTTATTTTTTAAACTTAACTATCCATTTTCACATGAACTCACTTTTTCAATATATGACGAAATTACTTTAAGAAAATTATTTTTGATAATAAATTTATTATTTCAATATGACAACACAAAAGTTTGTTAATAAAGGTATGAGATAATCTGAAAAGAAAATTTATTAATAAAAGAAAATTTTGTTTTGTTTTCAGCTACTTTAGAATTTGGTCGTCGTATATTTGGTCAACAATTTCGTCGTGAACCAGCAACACTTAAAGAACAATATCGAAAATTTCAATATTATCAGACAAATCATTATAAATTAGGTTTAATGGAACATGATCGCTTATGGGGTGATAATCCAGCTGTTAAAGAAGCCATGCGACGGTTACGTATAAGTGAACCTGAAGTATGGGATGAACGTTCATTTCGTATATCACGTGCAATTAATTTTGATATAAAACGAATGTTTTTACCAAAAGATGAATGGTCACAATATGAAAATGATGTACCTTATTTACAACCATATCTTACTGAAATTGAACGTGAACAAAATGAAGAAGGATATTGGAAAAAAGTTTTCGGTTAGAAATAAATTAGAGAAAGAAAAAAAGACTTTTTTTTTTTTCTTTCTTCAATACGTATATATTTTGTAGAATGTTAATCTTGGAAAATAAACATATAGAAATATTTTTTCTTTTCTTTTGATTTAAGATTATAAAAAAAAAAAACAACTAGAAATAAAATAATGTCAAATCAAATGGACGATAGAGATGATGATTTATCAACTAATGTTGTTGAACCTGATGAAAACGAATGGAAACGTTTGATAGATGAGTAAGTTGAATGAAATTTGTTATTGTTTATAATTAATTTTGAGATTTTAGTATGAAATATGTTAATGCTTTGGAATATGTTCTTCAAAATGCACCAGTTCGTGCAAAAGATCCAGAAAAAAAAGTATGCTTTCTTTCGAATGAAAGTCTATGTGAATGTTAATTGAAAAGAAGAAAATCTTATTTTTGTTTTTTAGAAAAAAGCAGCCACTATGGCTTTATCAACAATGATGAAAATTAAACTAAATGACATAGCGAGTGCTGTTAATTCAATTCCAATACCATTACGTGATACATTAATGAAATATGTTTATAAAGGATTTGAAAGTCCAAAAGATTATTCAAGTAGTGCTTTATTAACATGGCATGAAAAGGTTTTATATTCGAATGAAGAAAAGACTTATTTTTACACAAAGATTTTCTTTTTTTCTATTTATAGGTACTTGCAGTGACTGGACTCGGGTCGATTGTACGTGTTCTAACTGATCGACGAACTGTGTAGACTGTTCAAAGCAATGATTAATGAATGACATTCCAACAGTGATGAAATTCGTTTTGTATCTTTCGCCTTCTAGTTCGTATGCTACATAGCATAGTGACTAAATCTTTTTCTTTCTACTATTTATGAAAAAAGAAATTTTACTCTGTGTGCCTTTTATTAAACTTTTTTTTTTTCTCTTGTTTTTGTGAACAAACTATTGCTATTCTATAGGTATAATTTGACGATTATTATGATATGTTTGCCAAACGCGTTTTTTTTTTACAGAAAATATATAAGTTTATCATTGATTTCTAGATGATTCAATTTTAGACAATGATTTGATAAATGCATTTATTCAGTATACAAGTTTAGGTATCATTATCTATATTGTACGTGTTGCTATGAAAATAATTTTCGATAAATTTATACGAACTGCTATAATGCTTATGAATATACTACGTAACATTTATTCTTTGTTAATTTGATAATGTTTTTAATAAGATTAGATAGGCATAATGTTAATTTATTTGAATACAAAAAATTGTAATTAAAATGAATATATAGGTCTTATTCGATTTTCTTTCTTTTTTTTTTGTTATATTAACAAAGTCATATTAATTTCATTTCAGATGTCTTCAATAGAAAATAATAAAGATGATGTTATAGAAAAAGTTTCTACAGACAAAACTGAAGATGAAGTATATCCTAAAAATGTATATATTATGAAAAGTAATAACCAATTACGAGAACTTCATACACTTTTACGTGATCGAACAACATGTCGAAGTGATTTTAAATTTTATGCTGATCGTCTTATACGTTTAACAGTTGAAGCTGCACTTGATCAATTACCATATATACCAAGTGAGATTATAACACCAACTGGTCATTCTTTTAATGGTCTACGTCATGAAAAAGGAACTTTATGTGTATCATTAATGAGAAGTGGAGAAGCTATGGAAAAAGGCATTCGTGAATGTTGCAGGTCAATCAAATGTTTTCTTTTCTTTTGAAATAGACAAAAACCTACTGACTGTACGAAGGAACCTTTCTAAGTGTCAAGTCGTTTTTCGACTAAGACGATGTTTACTTGATGAATAATAGAAAACTCTAGGATGGCTTAGTTTTTCAGGTATTTATCCTTGAGATATCACAATTTTACTAGATTTTCCATCAAAAGGTTGTGGTCATGTGAAAAATCGACTTTTGACTTCAAACATTGTAATCAAGTGATCTCATCAAGAACTTTATGCATGCAACGTCCTGAAGACCAATACAGCTTGTTTTGTTGAAAAACTTAGCAAAAGTTCGATATCTCAAGAATGAAGGCCCAAAAATCAAACTATTCTATAATTTTCTATTACTTAATAGTACTCATCAAGTAAACATCCTCTCAGTGGAAAAGTGATTTGACACCTGGAGAGATTCCCTCGTGAGACGTACTTATATTAAAAATATATATTATTCAGTCTTTACAATATTTCTGCTTGAATGAAAAGGTATATCAAGTATATATGCAAATAACAACCATTTTGAAGAACTTGGTATTTTGAAAGAACATATTTGATATATGTATCAATTTTTAAAGAAAAGTGTTCTGTCTTTTTTAACCTAGATTTGTCTTAATTAGAAAATTATTTCGACAACAAATCTACCTAATTCAAAACTTAGTGAATTTTACTGAGACTACCCATGCCCAGAGACCGAGCTTTAGGATGCTTTCATAATTGCTCAGATGCCTCAAGAAATTCTTTGGAAAATCAGCTAAATATCTGACACTCTCTGAACTGGTTGTATAATTTCCAAATGCCAATCGTTCGTCTTGAATACTGAGCCAGAATTCGTGTTCGCTGCATGCATAATTGCGATGAACATAATATGTAAATTTACTTACAAAATAGATTAACATTCACAACAAACATCATGCCTGGTTAAATCTTGCCTAATTAAATATTCTTTTGTAGTATTTTCAAATCTGTACTGCTGTTCGTATACAAGTGTTCAAAAACAAAACATTTATTTTGTAAGAAATATTATAGCATCAAAAATACGAGAAAAAAGTTTCTCTAGTTACTGTTAAAGACTGTTGCCTGGCGGCCGCACCTCATTCAGCAAGCAGAGCATGAGCGGTTGAACCACTTCCCAAAACTACTTTTTGATGATGATTGTCTTCGTGCAGATGTATAATAAAGTTGTTCCGTATTATCTATTAATTATATTGATTAGATTGAAGTATTTTATCATTTCAGGTCTATACGAATAGGTAAAATATTAATAAATGAAGGTCAAGTTATATATGCGAAATTACCAGCTGATACTCATCGAAGACATATTCTTGTTACTTATCCAGTTATAACGAGTGGCTCAACAGTTATCACTGGTCTTGAAGTATTACTTACAGAATATCAATGTAAACAATCAAATATTATTCTAATAACATTATTTTCAACGCCTGATGGGTTGAAACAAACTTGTGAACGTTATCCAGATATAAAAATTATTGTTTCAGAAATAAATCAAATAGCACCAAATCATTTCGGTCAAAAATATTTTGGTAAAAAATGCTTACTGAAAATGTTTTATTTTTATTTTTATATTTATTATTTCACTGTTTTATTTTTAGGTACCGATTAATAATAAACCGTTGTGTTATTATTTGATATCGTATTTTATACGAAATCTTTTTTCTTTCTCTCATTCCTCGTTTCCATCATGTTAAGTAAATAATTAAATAAATAATCTGTGTTTCAATATAATATATATTAATTTTTATGTTTCTTTTTTTTTTTTTTTGCTCAATAAATTTATGAATATATCTTGTATGAATTAGAGTACGTACTAATTTTTATTTCTTTCATGACATTTATGTTCTTACATAACTTTTTACCAAGAAAAAACCAATTCCTTGCTTCTTTATTTTCCACATCGATATTTTCAGATCAGATTTCATGTATAACTCAGTAGAAATATTATCACACAGTTGTACTTAATCAAAAAATATGTTCTGATTCTAAAAAAAATGCTTTGATAATTGATGGAATAAGCATTCTATTCGAATATATGGAAAATTTATCGTCAACTTATTGTTTAAAATTCTTTCTTCATATGAGTCAAGAAGGTCAACAATCATTTTACTAGATATAAAAGTTAGTCCTTATGTATTCGAAAAATTAATATGTAACAATGAATGCAATTAATCAAGTAAAAAAGATTTTCTTAGCATTGAGAGAACGCAATGTGAATCATATCAAACTCATTTGATCTTCTCAAGATTCTGTCAAATGGATTAGTTGCAAAATATAATATACAAGATTATTTTGAATATAACTTAAAGCATCAAATAAATCAAATAAGATACAGCATGTTCATTTTAATGTTATATTTTAAATACATTATGATAGTCAATTTAATGGGTTTATTTCTATGGAATAATTGAGAAAGTATAGCATTAAATATGGGTTACAGGCATTTCTACTTGGGCTTAAATTGACTTCATTAGCCTATATGAAAAGTCTTATTTCTTTTATTAGTAGCTACATTCCGTAGCGCTGAGCAGTATAAATTTTCATTTAGACGTCCTATTCAACGTTACACAATGTAGCAATTAATTAAAGATATAAGACTTTTTATAAAGGTTAATGAAGTCAATTTACCTACGAACAGAAATTCCGGTCTCCGTTAAATACTGCTGAAAAATAATAAAAAGCTTATGCAACTGTTAGGAAATAACTGTCAACATCAGGATTTTTTCTTACATAAGTCAGAGGTTATTTTGATTTTCTCAATTATCGTAATGCTTACGAAGAAACTATTCCGAAGTGATACCGACCGTTTGAGCTGATGTTGGACTTACCAGGACATCTTGGTGCGATTAGCAAAAATCTAAAAGGATTCGTTTTCATGAGTCTTTGAAGCCAAGTTATGATCGTTGTACTGAATTTTTGACCTTCTCGGAAAACTAAATAATGAAATTTCGATCAGCAGTTTTGTCCATAGATAGATATAATAACCCTTGGAGTAATCTGAAAATTTCAGCTGAAAAGAATGTTTTTTGTTGTTGTTGAGATATTGAATTTTTAATTAGATTCGATTCTATATCATGCCTGTAATGCGCGATTATGTTTTAGAAATTCTATATCTCAACAAAAACTATTCTAAGAAGCAATAGACATATCAATAGGCAAAATTTCAGTTCGAAATTATAATTATTTGATTTTCCGGAAACAGTAAAATGACCATAACTCGGCATGTGGTTAGTCTCACCAAGGCGTTGTTGTAGGTTCAATATAAACTTAAACAACCAATATTACTTCACGTGGCTCCCCTATTTGCGCTTAGCATTTATTCTTGTGCTTACAATTATATGTATATAACATACAGCAGAGATTGAACAGGTCGGTAGACTTATCAGTCTCAAATCCACATCGACATTAGACTGATGAGTTGTCGTACTATTCCACCTGTAGATAGTGATATTTGACGTAATCAACTTTCAACAACGTTTCATTACACATTATCTACGAGATAATAAGAGCAAAAAGATAAGTAAGGCACACCGGTAATCGGTACCGGTTTCATCGCTAACATATAGATTATCAAATGCTATACGATTAAGGTTTTTTTTTTTTTATATGTTAAGTTCATATTTTAATTGTGTGTTGTTGTTGTTGTTGTTTCTTTTTACAATCATTAATTGTACAATGCGATATTTTATAATTGTTGTAGATCATGTATTATTCTAATCAATACATGAATCAAGCCAAACGACAAATGAGTGTTGATATGTCATGGGCAGAAGATACAAAAAAGTTACGAAGTAAGATTGAAAAAATTAAATTTAATAATCAATTAGAATTTTCTATTTGTATGGGATTAGCATCTAATGAAGACAAGTAAGTAAAAAATATTATTTTTAATTTTTCTTTTCATTATGATATTTTAATAAAATAGATTTATAAATTGTATTGAAAATTTATCTAATGAACTTTTCTATGAAATATTTGATTATCTTGATGGTCGTGATATATTCTATGCATTCTCAAATTTAAATATACATTTTGAAAGTCTTATTATGAGTTCAACATTACTATTAAAAATTCATGATTATGCTTCATATAAACGATCATTTGAATATGATTATCAACGAATAATTATACCAAATAAACATCGAATTATTTCACTTCATCTATCGAATGGATCACAATTTATAACATGTTCTAAATTTCATACTATTGATTCATCATTTTATAGACTCGAATCACTTATTTTTCATGGAATTAAATTCAATCAAATAATATCATTTCTTCCGAGTTTAACAAATTTACCTCGTCTTTTTTCATTAAATATTTATCTTGATGATGTTTTAAATGATTACAATACAATCTATCGTTTAATTTTTCATTTACCTATGTTAAAATATAATAAACTTTTAGCAAAGAAAATTGTTTTACAAGATTCAATACCAATTACTTCTAATGAACAATTAACTTCTTTAGAACAATTAGTAATTAATCATCCTTGTACTCTTGAAAGTTTATATAATATTCTTTCATATACATCAAAACTTCATCGTCTAACATGTGAACATTTATTTCTAATGAATCAAAATATTTCAAGAGAAGTTCCATTAACAATATTCAATTTAACATATTGTTCAATATCTCAATGTTATTTAAAATTTGATGAATTTGAAATGTTTATTAAACAAATATCATCTCAACTTCGAACTCTACGTTTTAAACCATGTTCAGATATTTTTTATCTTGATGCTGATCGATGGCAACAATTAATATTACAATATATGCCTTATTTACATACATTTCAATTTAAATATCATGATGGTGTTTCTGGACATTTTCGAATTCAATCATATCATTCATTTATTAATCGATTTATTTCACCATTTTGGATTGAAAGACAATGGTTATTAGATATTCAAATTGATTTAAATCATTGGCCACCTATTGAAATTATCTTCTCTATTCAACCGAAGAGGTACATTAAAAATAATTCTTTTGATGCAAAAAAAAAAAAAAGAAAAAATAATTTTTTTTTCTCTTGTAGAAAACAATGGGACGAACTAATAAATTATGAAAGAACTAATGTTAACATATCAAGTCAAGAATGTATGCATATTTTTAAGCCAATGTCTCAATTGACTGTTCTTGGTTGCTGTTTTACAAAATGTAATCAATGGTTTATCGATTATATTCATTTCATCTCTTCGTTAGCAAAAATAACTTGTTTAAATATTGAATTTAAATATTTTTCTATTGATATTCTTGTACAATTTTTATATCTATTACCTAATCTTGATTCACTAACAATTGTTATTATGATTTCAAATCAAAAAATAAAATTAACTGAAGAACAGATTAATATGATTCGTACAATATCAAATATGAATCAAATAATCAAAATGAATATTGAACAAGTGTTTGAGCTAGATCACATTGATATTCTTATTAACCTTTGTTCACGATTGGAATATTTAAACGTTCAATGCAAAAATTATATGGACTTAGAATATATTATTCGTTTAATTTCAATGAAAAGATATTCTAATCTAGAATTTCTATGTTTTTCAATGTCAGAAGCAGATGATCAATTGGTGAAAAGATTGCAAACAACAGTTTATTTAAAGGAATTATTTGTTAATTATTCCATTCAATGTTGTCATAATAAAATTTATTTACAACGACAAACACATTCATAATACAAAAACTATTTATTAATATATAATTCTGATGATGTTTTTGATTGAATAAAATATATTTCAGAATGATAATTATTTGTCTTTCGAGAAAAAACTTTAATTATTTTCAGTTAAAGTATCGATTACACTGAAAATGTTTTTATAAAATTTTTGGTTAGCTTGATGATCATGAGATAGTAATACTTATTAAAATTTCAATAATCGTTTTTGTTTTCTATACCAACATCTAGTTTAACCCTGACACAAACACTTAAGATTCATGCGAACTTCAACCTATCGCATCACACTGTCATAAGTACACAATATTACATGAAACTGGTCATCTTTTAGATATGTTCTAGTGGAGACTAGTAGGTTACGCTGATAATATCTGTCAGTTGCGCCGAACTATTATCTATACGAGTGGTCCATCTCGAAATACATTTGAACACTTTTTAACTACCTGACGTTCGTTTCAAACCACAGTGAGATTCATAATATTTAATCGAATCGCGTTCTGTTAGGTATGCATTGGAGACTTTTCTTACAGTACATTGACAATATCCGCCAATCCTACGGAATTGTTCTTCTAATGATATAGCAGTTCAAACTGCGGAAATTAAATGTAAAATACAAATCAGCTGTTGTCGCTAATCACAGGGAGATTGTTTTATTCTGCCTATTTTGAGACATACTTCTTCATCATTCTTTTACTTAATCGTCGAAAAATGCAATAAGAAAGTAGTTCATATATAATAAAGAGACGTTATTGATATATGGCCTTTGATCATATATCAATAATGTCTGTCATAGTTTGTGGAGGGAGACGGGTTTTAAATTTTTACCGTATACTTCAGTACTTCTTTTCAGTCATGTGCTCACGGGTCTCAGATGAACAACAAGTGTTAGTGCTAAAGATGATCGTA